GGACCCCTTTTTCATCATTCCACGTCATTCACGTCTATTCTCCCACTCTGCAGAATCTGTTAGTTCAATCTCTAACGTTCTGCTCTCTCTGCTTTTTCTCATAGTAGCTTCATCTGGTCTGTTCCTGTTTGGCTGTGACTCCGGCCTGTTTTTCAGTCTTTAGTACAGGTTCTCTCCTAAAGGTATCGGCTCTGCTTTTACGTGGACTAACTGGATCTTCTCCATTTCATCCTTTGACATGAAAACTGACTCAGAGCTCCTTTGATTAACAGTTTCTTTCCCAGACGGATCCACCTGCAGAGCAAGTTTACCGTTAGATTTTCTAACATAGAGAGTATTTACAGATCTGAGCTTCTATGTTCGTTTTCTATGTCTGCTTCTGTCTCCTTGAACCCCAGTCGGCCTCAGCCAATGGCCCCTCACACTGAGCCTGGTTCCTATTTCTTCCTGTTCAAAGAGAACGCCACAACAGCAATGACTTGTGCAATAACTATGTGACAAGTGAATTTCTCCACTGTGAGATCAATAAAGTCTAAAGTCCAGACTGCAAAACAAATATACCTATAGGTATCAATGACCTCACCTTTAGGAGCCATCTCAATGTCTCTGAGTTCCCTTTTCATAGCAAGAAAACAAGAACATATTCAAACTACTCCCAGACTATATCTATTTGCGGCAGCTCCAGAGGAATGCCATTGTTTGGACTTCCTATGAAGTCGGATGACCATACTGGAGGAAACGGGAAGACTGCGATCAGCTTCCTGACATGACAGGAAACTCAGCAAAACCAGGTCAAACAAAAGAACAGCAGAATGCCAAAGAAAGGCAAATATTTTGGACCCTTTTTCATGAGGCTCATCATTTTATTTTGATTGCATCCAATAAACTTTTTCAGTCACAGATTTCACTTTCTCTAAAATATATTAGGTAAATAAGTAATTGTTGTTAATTCCAGGTCTAGACTCCATTTCTACGTACTTGACAAGTAAACTTTTCAGTCTATAGATCAGTCTATGCAGTCTTTATCTAGCCTAAATAGATAATCTGAAACAGGAATTATATGAGTCTCATTACTTGCACTCCAGCATTTTTTTAGACACCAAAAATAATGATGATGTGAGCATTTTAAATCTTATTTGAATCATATCAAGCATAGTGTCTCCAGGGTGCAGGGAGGGGAGACCTCGGCATGTATCCTATAGAGAACGGCCAAAATTAGCCCCTCTGTTTCTCTCTACGTACTGTTATTTATTCATGCTCCCAATGGATGTAAAGTTTTACCTATAAGTTCCATTTGTTTCAAATTAATGTGAATGGTGTTTGCACTCTGTTTGTATGTGTATGAAATTTGAGACTGAATAAAAGCCAAACCAAAGCACCAGTTCAGAGGGTTTGTTTTAGAGCAAAAACAGCGATGAACAATAACAGAAAGTCAAGCGATGATATTGGTAAATAATGAAATAAAAATACTAGTTTTAATATCAATCTATTTTCTTTCTCTCTCTCTAATCTGTGCTTCGGTCTCTGTGGCATTAAAGTTTTTCATTAGAAAGTAAAATACAGGTTCAAAATACTTTAAAAAAAACTTTAAACTATCCTTTGGCATATAAATATTTCACACACTGATACTACAAAGATGATACATATTATAAAGCCTTAAAAATACAAACAGGTTGAAGCAGACTCACAGGAACAGGGAGGGTAAACTGTTACTCTTACTATTAAAAATAATCCTAATCTGCTTCCCTCTGGAGTTGTCCCCTGATCCAGATCCCACTGCGGCCCCAGATAATAAACCCAGCAGACTCCAAAGATTTGGGATTTTTTAAAGTTTCGAGCAGTTCAGCACAACAGTGTAGTTAGTCCTAACATCAGGGATCTCATTACAGTAAATCTCAGTAATTAACCTCATTAGTTCACACAGTGACATCATTTTCAATCTCTTCTTATTGAACTTACCACAAAGCAGGAATCCCAGCAGCTTTAACAGACCAGTTTGGTCCATCATACTGGGCCAGAACAGTTTCCACTGAAACCTACTGTAGTCTGTTTTCTGACTGGATGTCCTCCAGACCTGCCGCTCCTTCACAGGAATGAGCGTCTCTCTGAGCTGACTGTCAAACTCCACAACAACATGCAGAAAACAGCTTCCTGTTTGTGTAGTTTTTCAAAATAAAGTGCTTCAGTCACTTTAGTTTACCATACTGTAGCTAAAAATACATTTTTCAACAAACGGTTCTCCTTCATTCTGTAATTTCAAATGATGAATAATGTCATCAAATTCAGATAATTACAGATGTTTATTCCTTATTTGGCTTTATTTATGTAAAAGTATCAACAAAAGAAAGTCATGGTAATAAAACACATTGACATAACTTTGTGTTTATTTAGATAAATAAATGGATGTCCTTTTATCAGGAGTATATCAGCTGTTGTTAACAAACCTAAAGGAAGAAATTCCTGAGATTTAATAAAAAACCTTCAAAAGGGACATTCATAACCAGGAATAGAAATCAGTAACATAAACCAGAAAATAAAACTTAGAACCCTAAGCAGGAACCTAAAAAAAGGGACTTAAAATATCAGGAAAGTAAACTAGAAGCATAAACTCTTTTCCAACTCTTCCTTCTTCCTCTCCTCTCTCCTGCTCTCTGTGTCAGAT